TATTATTATTATATAATATATTTTTGTTAAATTCATACAAAATCTAGAATATGGAAAGTTCAAAAGAAGGGAAAGGAGTATCGTCAGAAGAACTTATCATAATATTTGCTGTAGATGTTTTAAATAAACTTCCGATTCCTTTTGATACAATTCTTGCATTAGAAAAATACCCCACTACCTACAATCAGTCTATGAACACAGTTTTAGTTCAAGAAATGGGACGGTTCAATAACCTTTTGAACGCAATAAGTTCAAGTCTAATTAATGTTCAAAAAGCTATCAAAGGTATGCCATGACGTTGATTAAATTAAAATTTAAAACAAATTATTGGTACCTATACTGAAAAATATTTAAATGTTATATTATAATTATTACTTATGGTGTTCACAAAACCTACTATGTATTTTTTATAAACTAAAATAATATATTATAATAATCTAGATATACTAATATCAATATTACTGTGAACACATCACACATATTGAATTTTTTATTTTGAAACAACACAAAATATGATCAAAATGTTGGCTCTAAAACTACTTAATTAATAATAATAATATGCACGTAATTTTTTTTATTAGGTCTAATATTGATATCTAATGAATTGGAAGAACTATGTCAAAGTATCATAAATGGAAAAATTCCGACAGCCTGGGCAAGAAATTCCTATCCATCWTTAAAACCATTGGGGAGTTATGTGAAAGATTTCTTACAGAGAATGGCGTTTTTGCAAGTTAGATAATTAACTTTCGTATCGTATAAATCTGATTTCTTATCATTTTATCAATAAATCAGTCGATAACCAATTACATAAAATTGATAGTTTAAAACAAAAAACAAATAGCACCAATTAATCTAAAATATTACCTATGTCTAATAATTCTAATCTACGTCTGAAAATTCTAAAATATTATAATTATTATTTTTTTTTTGCTGTTAAACTGGCAATACACTCACCACCCGGGAACGCCGTTAAGCAATGCTTCGGGTGATGAGTCGCCATCGTTTATTTCAACTAAAAAAACAATACACAGTACCTACATATAGGGCACTGAAGGGACAATTCCCCAACCGCAACCCCTTACAAGGTATTTACAAAAAAAAGGGAGTGGAAGGGACAATCCCCCAACCACTGGCCCTGTAATGAACAACGATATAATCGGGAAGAGGGCTTGATTGTTCGGCCCCGCAGCCTAGGTCGGAAGCCAGACCACCGACGGCGCGGTCCCAGCCGCGCCCGTGTCACCTCCGACGCCTAGACGGAGCGACGCCCTGTCGGAACTGCCTGTCCCGCTCAGCCTCCTCCTTCGCTGACATCACGTCCCTCGCGAAGCGGGTAACCGCCGTCCAGTTGGCCGGACTCTCCAGCATCCTGGACACCAGTCCGCCCGGGTCGAATTGTCCGATCGTGTCGATCAGACGCTCACTTTCGCCTCGCAGCGAACAAGGGTGTGCTGTGCGTCGTCGACCTCCTCACCGTGGCCATCGGGTGGACCGCAATRGGARCACCCTTCAGACGGTGCAYGGTTGATCTTCCGGAAGGAACCGGTTGAAGCAACCATGCYCCGTCATCAGCTGAGTGTGGTGAAAGGACGTCTCCCCGTGTCTCCTGGTAGCCCACCGACAGAGCAGGTCCGGGGGGATCAGGATACGGGTCCACTCGCGTCCGCTGTCCGCGGGTGGCACCGACTCCCRCATGACCCGGGCCCACTTTGCCAGCGAACRAGCCCTCAGTAACTGAGAGTCGTCCGCCCGCCCTGCCTCCGCTGGATGGTCCAACCGAGGGGACCCACCGTCACGTGCTCCTGCCAACCGCCTCTCCCTTTTGGCCTCGAACGACGCTAATCGTTCCTCGGCCATAAGGACGACAGGGATGGTGCGCGCAACGACCGTCGCGGGGTAGTAGGACACGGTACGGTACGCACCTACGCTGGCGATRGCGGATTATAATTTAATATAACTAAACCTACGAAGGTATATATAGTATATAAAGTATATATGTATATATACTTTATATACTATATAAAGGTATATATATACTCTAAACCAATGAAATATGAATTTAATAAATACAGTATATCTAATTATTCAGATTTATATCATGCCCATTTTAAGTAATATCTAATTATCTAATACTAGATATATAGCCACTAAAAAGAGAATTATACTTGACAAAGTTTTAAAATACGAATCATAAATAACACATAATAGTTGTTGATATCGGTAATAATAGTGTTATTCATTGTAATATTTAGAAATGGTACGATAATGATGCTCCGAAATTGTTCTGGTTATCCGGATTTTATTTCACGCAAGCTTTTTTGACTGGAACACAACAGAATTTTGCCAGAAAGTATAAGATACCAATTGATTTACTAACATTTGATTATAAAGTATGTTATATATTATACTAATATTATAATTTCAATCTGCATAATATTTTACAGATATCGACGTGTAGTCTTTATTCTAAATGAGTGTAGTGAATTTCGAAAAACTTTTATAAAAATAAATCTGTACAGGCACGTCATAGGTATATAGATAAATGGACATAATAACAAAATAAATTAGATCCTAAAAATCATATACGTGAAACTGTCAATACAATKTTAGCAAAATAACCTAAAACCACTCCAACAAACTCTTCTCAGACTTGTTGAACGATTGTTGGAATTGKTTGGAAGCTATATAAAAAGTTATTTAATTTAAAATTTAGTAGTGCTAACTTCACAACCTATAAACCTTCACAGCACTATAAATTAAATTAAAACATTAAAAACTATTCCAAAAAATACACATTACATTAAGTGACATTTTTTAACGTTGGACAGTAACTAAAACAACTTTACGAATTGATACAGTGTAAAGCTCAAAAGTTTATGCACAAAACGCATCATATATGAAGAAACCTAACCTAGGTAACCTAATGCTAACAATTTTCCCGGAATTTTAAATCACTATTTTCCACTACCTAGCGATATTCCTTTAACATCTAGCAACCTAACCTTTACCACATTTTAGTAAATTTTAAAATCCCCATTTTTCCACTAGATAGTATATTTATCAATATACACACGACTATAAACATTTTTCATTTTCGTCATATTGATTTCTGATGTTCAAACATTTTTAAAAGTTTTTAAAATTCCAGGAAAATTGTTAGTGTCATATTTCTTCATCTATAGACTATAATGGGTAAACATGCGTTTGTTAGACATATTTCATACTTCTGGTTGTTATGGTTAATAGTGGTATACACTTATTGTATATGCACTTTTGAGCTTTATTACGCTGTATCAATTCGTAAAGTTGTTTTAGTTATTGTCCAACCTCCAACAATTTTATGCAATGTTTATTTTTTGGAATAGTTTTTAAGACATAGTAAGGTAAAATGATACACTAGTACCTACATTTCATAGGATAAACAAATTCAAAGAGTAGAAAATATTTCTAAATTAATGTTTGATAATTGCCATCATAAATCTTTATTATTTGGATTAGGTAGGTACAACCATTTTGGTGAAATTAATAGTAAAATCTTTTAAACTAATTTGATACAAGAATTATTTGAAGAATTTTTATTTAAAAAACATATCATATAATTAATKTTAAGTAGGTACATCACAAAAAGAACTTCCAAAATGGTATGTCATATTAAGTCAATTTCCCCTAATATTACTGTTATATACGAGTATTTTTAGTATTGAGTAATTGTACGATTTGCAATTATATTATGCGCACGATGATATAATACTATATAAATATGAAACTGGTCCAAGTGTAATGAGACGGGGAGGTTAAAATTATTAAATATTTTGACTATCATAATATATTGTTATTAATATACATAGGTATGTAATAAAAAAACAATGCTTAACTATTAAGGGGTGAAAATCGCATTCACAAATTAACCCCTCCCTCAAATAATAGCTAATCCATCCCAACCACGTTGTATTATAAATAAATGTGGATGAATAGCGAAAATGATAAAAATATAATATAACTATATTGACACAGATATTGAAAAAATCCACAGCGACAGACGTCGAGCCCGTTGACGGCGTTTACGTATATGGTCTGTACTTGGATGGGGCCCGGTGGAGCGACCGGRATGGCGTGTTGAAAGAATCGAAACCGAAACAGCTGTTCTGTACTATGCCGTTGATCCACTTGCTGCCGGCGATGAGGTCAACAGCGCAACCCGTCGCAATATATCTGTGTCCGATGTACAAGACGGCGGAGCGGAAGGGCACGCTGTCCACCACCGGACATTCGACCAACTTTGTGATCGCAGTGTCCGTACCCATCGACAGATCACCTGACCACTGGAYCATGAGGGGYGTTGCTTTCCTCTGTCAGTTGTCCCAGTAACACAGTATTGTCGACACGAACGAATTCACTGCTACCACTCGAATGGCTTCCCCCGAGAACTCAATAATTATAATACTGCTATACGATGAACTTTAATGCCTATAATATTTAGATAACATTATTTAGATAATATATAATGTTTTTATTCGGTACAAAAGCGTTGTGTTTTAAATTCCAAGTTGTACAAACAATTTTTTTCAACATAGGTACATATGATATGGAATTACTTCAACTTTTTTTTCTCACCAATTTTGTGAATTTTGAATTCAAATTTTGTAACGCTATATTAATTAGGTACCATAGAAAGGCAAATCAAATGTCTAGATATATGACATTACATTGATAAGTTTCAAAATCAAACGTGAAGCAATGGCTTCGATACTGAAAATACTGACTACAATCTACAGTGAATTAAGTTTCATATTTTTCTTATCATATGGTCCATAAAAACTATAGACTATAGAATAATATACCTACTCTAAGGTATAGCCTCCCTTAAGAYGATGATACCTATAAAGAAAAATAATAAATAATGTACAATATGCACTGAATACAATCTACAATATTCTATTATAAGTAGAAATTGTCAAAGTGGATGTCATTATTTTTAGTTTTAGGGGATATTGAGAAAGAATAAAAAAAAAACATTTTTTTTAATTTAGCAAGTTAAGAAAATAACTTTAAAGTTTAAACAGTTTAAATTAACTTAAATGTATCCATACCTTCTAAATTATCAATTTATAACATTTGACATTATAAGCACTTATTTTTATTTAGTACATTTTTTTTTTTGCTGCTACCTATTAATAAAGTATCATTACGACATTACATAACTATTACTAAATAGTAGATACTTTGTTGAAATATTTTTATTTAATTATTTATAAACAATAATATCATATAATTTCATACTACACAATTATGTAAATTCAATTCTTACCCTTTTTGTAATAACAGACGATCATTAAACATTATTACGGTCTGTTACATAAAAAACTTCTTGTTAAATAATTCCATTTAATAAATTATCATCACATTTAATAATTGGAATTGTCAAAGAATTTTACATTACGTTACATAATATCTTTTCCAAATTTATTCRATTAATGAGTTATGAAGAGTGGCATTCGTTCAAAACTATTCCTACTGGGCACTGGCTACTTTGTGCAAATCTATAACCATCATCTATTAAATATTTTTCAATTTGATTTCAGTATCAATTGTGTTTACTTTTTCTTCAACTGTACATATAGTTATGCAAAAATAAAATTAGTTATTTAAAATAAATTACCAATATAGGATAAAATACAATAATTAYAACTAAATAATAATTATATACTGTARATTATAATAACAAATTTGACTTGATTAAAACAATAACGATTATTTTAAATCATAATATTATTGCCGAAGTGCTGAATTAAGTAGATTATACGACTTCCGGTCAAAGTGAAGTTTTCGTTTAGGTTGTATTTTTGATTTGTAAACTTGCTCACACACAATATTGCTCTTCTTTAAGTTATGCAGATAAAAAGGTAGGTCTCCAAGACTTAAAACACATGACACTTCATGTCAAAACATAATTGGCGCCACTTCTKTGGCATCGGTGGGTGGTGGAATATATATTAATAGTATTATTAAAAATATTATATATTAATATATTAATATTCTATTCTGTGGTGGAACTGTCATGTGGTCTGTGACTGAGTCAGTTGTAGTCGTGCAGCTGGTGCAACCACTGTAACCATCAGATTAATCATATTTACTACCTTGGTATACGATTTCTTGTTATCAGTATCTCGATTCTCGATGTTTGTTTACGTTTATGCCGTTTATGGCTTGAGAGTAAGTAAGTAGTTGTTGAGGTTACTGGCGTTACTGGTTTTCAATCATTCATTCATCCATTTTAGCGTTCACTATAGTCCGTTTACTGTTTATTTCTCAAAAAATAATATGYTAATTATTGATAATACGGTAACAGTAAAATAGTGAATACTGAATAGTAATTTCCAATTACTAATTACTACTACTAATACGTATTCTGTTCTCTGTAGAATCTAGTTCATTAAACTTCATACGTTTGATGCAAAACCGAATAGTGATACGAATATTCGGAGTCCATTTATCAACGATTACTGACATAATATAGATAAATCGCCGGCAAGTAGATTGTCCAGTGCGTTTTGTTTTGTACATGTCGCTTTGGACTTCTGCTAAAACGAATTAAACTTGGTAAAGTCCCATGCGAGTACAATATTTTATCATCGTTTTTAATAGTTTTGTGTACATGACTATAATTTATCAAACATCAAATTAAATTTTGATCTTTTTATGATTTTTTTTCCCCAGAATCGAAATGGTTGTTGAACATTAGTTGTAAATGGAGCCAAGCAAAGTAACAAGTAAAACCAGTAGCTTGAAATCATTGGTGCTGAAAGCGTGGGGTGAACGTTGGACTGAAATTCAGTGGGGCATATCTATAAAATCGGTAATTGCTTTTATTTATTTAATAAATCTTTGACCAGTATACTTTTGCTACAGAATGTAGCCCTATCWTAAATGTATGTTATGTATACAATACTGAAGTTCCTATTTAATTGAGTATACGAGCAGCCAATYAATAAAAATTCTATAATTTGTCTAGTTTTCAAAGGCAAAACTCATAGTAATGACTTCTTTGAATTTAGAGGTATTTAAGTACTTATTTTTTATAAAATGTATCGATAGGTATTATTCAAGAGTAATATAGTAAATTAATGATGGTGATGTGTACTCCAGATACCTATAGTTAGTTTTCAATTTGTAACATGTGTATTTAAATTAATTTCATTTTTTCGTGTGATAGTTGTCAGCTGACAAAATATATATCATCATTACTTTTATAGTTATAACATAAATTGTACTATTTTAGTTCTTAAACTGCATAGTACACCTAGATACCCATTTAAACTTTCCCCACTAAAAATATATTATTTTATTTTTCAATAATTTCTTACTTTGTTAATGGTAAATATTACCAAGAAATTTCAACTAGTAAAAAAAAAGAAAAAGTATGCAATTGACTACAAATCTGTTCATATGGATAAGCTTAAATTTTTAGTTATTTGAATATTCATTTATTTTTATTTTATTAAATATTATCTAAAGTGAAGTGACAGTGATTAAACCGTTTTGTTAATCAGGTGTTTTAACATCCACTCAAAATGACTGCCAAATGTGAACAATTTGAAACCAACAAATGGACAATTATATCTTCCAAAAGTCATATACTAGGATCAGGATGTTCTTCACGTAGTCAAGTTCCTTCGTTATCTTGTTGTGACTTTTGTCGCTTTTCTATTGAATTGCAGCTTCATCATTTGCCTGAAATGGTATTTCCTAATAATATATTAGAAATTAAATATGATGGTAAATCTGGAATACGATTTTGCGCCTTGGATTCACTCAGAGATGTGGACCCTTGTAAAGCACCTGTGAAAATTGCTTGTTCTAAAGAATGGAAAGAATCTAGACTGGATAGTGGTCTTGTAGATAAAGATGTTAATATGTTTGATTGGACATATTCAACTTACTATGAAGGCACATTATTTGGATATTCAGTCACTGAAGCTACTGATGAACGTATAAACATGGAGAAACTAAAAGTTCAAGAAGAAATACTTTTCTACTCGGACTTGACTTTATTTGAAGACGAATTACATGATAACGGTGTTGCTGTATGTTCTGTGAAAATTCGCTGTATGCCTAGCTGTTTTTTTGCTTTGTTGCGATATTTTTTACGTGTAGATGGTGTCATGATGCGTATACATGATACACGTTTGTATAAGGAATCAGAATGGGATTATGTACTAAGAGAAGTTTGCCGTAGAGAATTATACACTACAGAAATACCAGTTGGAAAATCTGGCTCATTAACTGATCCTGGAAGTTTTGCCAATACCTTACCCATTGTCTATGAACGTTATGAAAAAATTAAATTTGATAAAAATGTATAAATATTATTTTTTTATTTGTTCAATTAAATGGATACTGATTTTGGCTATCTATTAGTAATATTATTTAAATAGATTTAATCAATTGATTATAACTAGCAATAATAAATATATGCATATCTTAACYTCAATACATTGTTTTATTTATCTAACMTATTACATAGTATAGTTTTTATATTAGCTATGTTAATGAGATTAAACGGATGATGTGTTTGTTTTCTCTATTTTTATTTTTTTTTTCACTAGTTTCAATAGTGTACTGAATGTACTGATAATTTTGATATTAGAGTGAAATGAGCCATCATCAAACTTTTAATTAAAAATATGATTATATTAAATATCACAAATTAAAAATGCTTATATCTTGCTTAAAATTAAAATATTGCATAAAATTGTATGTTTAATTACAGTATATTCTTACCTCAAAGTATAATAATAAGCCAATTCCCTCTTATAACAAGACTAATGGCGCACTATTAAAACTAGTGAACAAAAATTTGTTATTTCGTATGGTTGTAAGATGGAGGAAACAATTACATGGTAGTGTCCTTGTAATAATATACTTATTCAAATTCTAACCAATCCCAATAATTTACCTATTGATAGTAGATTAAATATTATTATTTAAGTGTTTTCTTATCAAAATAAAATACCATTTTTTAATCARCATGTTTATAAGAACTTTTATGACTAGAAACAATTTTATTTCCAAATCAATAGCATCCAAGGTATCACAATCAGTTCTTTAGTTGTTATGTATTAAACACTTAGAACTATTTAATATTTATATAATATAGAAATATTTAAGCTTATAAATATATATTCTACCTCGAGTCACCCAATTTAACACAAAATTGAAATCAGGAAATATTAATTTTGTAATATTGTTCAAACTATAAACAGAAAATAAAAATTAACCATGAAATATGATAGCAGATTTTAAAGCAATTTTGGATTTAATATTTTACTATGAGAAATAAATAAATAAATACCTAATATTACAATTAT